AGAATAAAATATAATAGAATATTATATAATATAATATAATATAATATTATAGAATAGAATAAATAATACAGAATAGAATAAATAATATAAAATACTGTAGAATAGAATAAATAATATAATATAATATTATAGAATAAATAATATAAAATAAATAGAATAGAATATAGAATAGAATATCATAGAATAGAATAGAATATAGAATAATATAATATTATAGAATAAATAATACAGAATAGAATAAATAATATAAAATACTGTAGAATAGAATAAATAATATATAATATAATATAATATTATAGAATAAATAATATAGAATAGACTATAGAATAGAATGACTTTATTGGTCCCAAACTGGGAAATTGTGGTGTTACAGCAGCAGGTTGTCCAAACACACAATATTAACAAAAAAACACAATGTTAGCAAATTTAAACACAATATAATATTAAATACAAAGTAAATAAGCACTAAAAATACTAAAAACTAAGAATGAGAATATATACAACCAGGATTTAACTTAGCATTACTAGTCTTAAATAGGAAAGATTAAATGTAATGGTTGTCACTTGTGCCTTTGTATTTGTAATTTGTCTTTTATTTGTAATTTGTCTTTCTCTGTTACCTGCCTAGGGACAACAGATGGAAACTAGCACTTCTGCTATAATCTGGCATTTTTACAGCTGTTCATTAATATTCACTGTCCCTAACAAATAAATAAATTAATAAATCATTTAGTCAACGTAATGTCAGACAGAAGCCAAAAATGATCATAGATAGATACTTAATTTATGCTGGTGGAAACTCAATTCATCAAAATGACTAAAGGCCAAAAGTGACCTCTTTTAATTGATTCTTTCAATGTCAAACCAACAGAACAAAACTACAGACTCCTCATTGACTGACAGAGAAAATGAAAAATAATGATCAGGTCTTTCAAAAGACATATGGAGTAGTCAGCCCGTGGGAAAAAGTATCAACACACTCTAGTGGTGGTTCAAAATAATTGATATGTAAAAATTGACCTGAGGGCCACGTTGAGGGTTGATGGGGGCCGCATGTGGCCCCTGCTCTAGTTTAAATAATCTGGGAAACTGTTACCTGCAGTCTTTCTCTGTCTCCCTGCCTCAGTGATGATTTAGTAGCTCTGTTTTTACCCACTAATTATCAATATGTATTCTATACAGATTATCTATAATGTGTGTTGTGATGCGTCCCTCTGTACTTCAGAGCTTTTTTGTCTCACGCTTAAACGCTGACATGTTATAGTGACGTGAGAACGCCATTTTACTAAAACGACTCGTCCGGGTGCTGGATCTTAATTTAATATTGTCTCTCAAAAGGCATTGCTGTCCACGAGGGAGTGAGAGTCAGAAAGGAAGCTAAGGGGAAAATGGGTCAACTTTTATGCTTTGGCTCCTTTTACAGGTGTCACGTTGCCACCGGTGTTTTCTGAAGCAGCCTGTAATATGATGATGACCATGTTAGTGTCGTAAAATTCTTCTGAAAGCCCTGAATTATATGAAGAAAGCTGTCATGAAAAAGTAACAAATAATTGATTTTATAAATATGGGGCAGTTAACATCATTTTGTTTGATTCATGGTTTGAGCTCTTACTGGTCTGATGTGACTTATCATTGTGTCCATGAAATTTAAGACAGGTTCCTCACTCTCAATGTCAACATTTGTTTCAAGTCCCGGCGTTCATTATCTCTTCTTTTCCTCGCTAGAATCAGAAAGCGTTTCACACTGAACCGTCAGCCATGGCTAACCAACAAATGGACATCATCACAAAGGTGTTGGAGCAGTCGGCCAAGCTGGTGGAGGAGTCGGTGGATGCACAGTTGAGCAAACTGAACGACATGGATGAAGATGATTTGGACAGACTGAAGGAGAGGCGGTTAGAGGCTCTGAAAAAAGCCCCAGAAACAGAAGCAGGTATGTTGGATGATTTTCTTTAACACACTTTCAGCTATTGTCTGATTAACTTCATTCATACTATTTTACTGCTTAAAACTTTTAAAGCAGTTTGAATGATGGTGTCGTGTTTAGTAAATTCTCTCTTTAAGCATGTGCAACATTTATAAGGCAACATAAGCACCCACTGCAAAATAATATTGAATTTATTTTATCAAGTATGAATCCAAACACCTGCTGTTGGAAAAATAGAATAAAAAGTATTTTTTGGATGTTCTTTACTAAGAAAGGATCAAGCTGGAGTCCTAGAATGTCTTATATTGTGGACTTTAATTGTCAATTGTGCAACTTAATAAGACAGAAACAAACAGAATAGAGAGTTTTATGAGGACCAGTTTAGTGATTGTAATTTTTGGAAACAATCTAATTTCATCCAAAGAACACAGTGGGTAACCTGAAGTCTCGAGTTGGTACAAAATTATTTTGCTTTTTTTTTTTTTTTAATATCCCAAATCAGTCAACCGTATGTTGTGATTGTTCTAGACTATAAAAAAAAAAAAAGCTTTCCTCCTCCTTTGTCATGTATTGTCCTGCTGCTAATCGTTATTCTCTGTTTATTAGGAGTGGTTGTCTAAAGGCCATGGCGAGTACCCGAGAAATCCCAAGCGAGAAAGAGTTTTTCGGCGAAGTCAAGGACACCAAGAATGTCGTCTGCCACTTCTACAGAAACTCAACGTTCAGGCGAGTGCAAAGCTACAATAAATGTTTATCTACAAAGACATTTGACCAGTTAGTCAATAAAAGCATAGATTAATTAACCTGCAAGAACACTTATTATTGATTCAGCGTTTCAGACTTTAAGCTGATAACATTTCCTGATTTAAGCTTTGCAAATACAAAGTGTATTTGTTTTTGAGCATTGTAATGTAGTAAAAGAAAACAAGAAGTTTCTAAAAAATCACTCCAGGCTTGTGTACTACAGAATTTAACAAACGTATGCAGTTGCTGCCCTTGTTGAGTTATCTTCACCAAGGCAGAGCATGACAGCCAAAGACTCAGCGCTCTAACATACTCGCCATCAGCGATGCAGTCCATCATATTATTTTAGTAACATTACATTGATCTCATTTTGTATGTTCAATCTTTTCTTTCAGTTTAATTTGTTTCTCTGTGAGGGTTTGTTGTCATCAGGGTGCTTACCTTGTCGGTCTGTCCTCCCTCCCTGTAGATGTAAGATCCTCGACAAACACTTGGCCATCTTGGCAAAGAAGCACGTCGAGACCAAATTCCTCAAACTGAATGTGGAAAAGGCCCCGTTTCTGACAGAGAGGCTTCACATCAAGATCATCCCCACGCTGGCTCTGCTCTTGGACGGAAAGACAAAGGACTACGTCGTGGGCTTCACCGACCTGGGAAACACAGACGAGTTTCCCACAGAGATGCTCGAGTGGAGACTTGGCTGTGCAGGTGTTATCAACTACAGGTGAGACGTACAGCACACTGCCTCAGTTAGTATCTCTCAAGCAATCAGAGCTGCAGAATCCCAGGATTGTGCCACTAAAACTGTGACTTTGTGTTCTCTTTCTAGTGGTAACCTGATGGAGCCTCCTACAGTGAACAAGAGGTCGGGCACAAAGTTCACAAAGGTGGAGAAGAAAACCATCAGAGGGCGGGGCTACGACTCGGACTCAGATTCAGATGACTGAGGAGAACCAACAGTCGTCTGGTTCTCTCTCAGGGCTACCTCACTTTCAAAAAAAGTCTAGCAGACAGCCCGCTTTGATTTTCCTCCCCCCCCCTCTCTCTCTCTAAGTGACTTTACCTATTTCTACAAATTTCCATATTTTGATTTACCATATCTCAAATCTAATTATTTTATTATAGCTGTTAGCATCTTTGTTTCAAACTTATTTAATGAATTGTCTCCCCATCTTTTTATATTTGAATACATCAGAGAAATGAAACATGCATTTCCAGAACAAGGTAACATTTACCGTCAGTTTGTCGAGGATACAGAAGGTGTCGATGAGCTACTGCGTCGATTATGTATCAACAAGCCTCTAGCTTCATTTTGTTTTTGTTTGTGTCTTTTCATGGTTGAAATTTAAACCTCTGTCATCAAATACCGTTGCAAATAAACATTTGTGTGTATTCAAGTGTAGAAATCTGTTAACACACATCAGGAAACATGCATTCTGTCTTTGTGTGTATACATGCTCCCTCTGGTTTTTCCTCTTTCTAAATCATCCTATTTATTTTTCACCATACTTTTTCTTGTAGCAGCATCCTAAACTGTAAGAGGTGGAGTTTGCCAACGTGTTGCAATAACAAATCTGTCTGATCAGAGCTTGGATTAAAGGAACCGAGCTCAAGGTCCCAATAATTCTAAAGTAGTCAATTGGTGCTTCTTGGGAGGTGGAAAAAAGGACATTTCTGGCTGTAATTCTGAATGGATTATAAAATGCTAAAAACGTGTTTCAGTGAGGCTACATCATAGCAAGGAAGTTCCTGGTTTGAGACCAGACTGTTGGCCAGGGTCTCTATATAAACTTTTCAGGTTCTAATGTCTGATATATTTCTTTTCAAGGTCCAGCGATGTGCAGGTTTGGTTAGTTTGGGACTCTACATGGTTCATGACGACTGGGATTAGTTCCTGCCCATGCACCACTCTAAAGAAAATGCATATATTGTTTATGGATGTATATGCACGCTGTGTGTAGTAGTATGAATTACAACACAGCTTCATCCTCAAATGCTAGTAGCTGTTAAAACCACGCCTAACAAAAACTAAATTGATGGTTCCGCTCAACAGAAAAGATCTGTCGCTACAAAGTACACAAAGTGAAAAGATCCAGGCTGCTTTTTCAAACAGTTTCTTATTTCATTAATCATGTTTACTAAAGAAACTGTACAACTTGTGTTCAAATTGACATTTACTGATGGGACGAGAGAACTAACTCGCCTCCATTACTGAAGAGAGAGAGGGCCCTAGTTGGCTGACAACTTTGCTACTGAGTTTGATTAAAGCATTTTCTCACCCTCTTTGGAGTCTTAAGTGAAATACCTCAAAAACAGGCATCATGCTAAATTGTAGCTCTCATTCAGTTTAGTAAAATCAGAACAGAAAACAAGGGAGTAGATGATTTTCCATGATATTTTATGAACATTGAAATAATAACACACGATTGAAAGCAAAGCTAAGATTCGATAGCTTTTGGTTCGACGGGTTGAAGAAGACGTCGAACAATCAGCTCTCCTTTGCTGTTGATGTAGGTGTCGGCCATGTCCTCTTCAGCGGGGAGTCCATAGGGAGTCTTCAGCGGCTGGATCCTGAATGCAGCAGGACAGAAAGGCATTCAATTACACAAAGAGTCCCTTTAATAATTAGACAAATAACTAATTGTATTATATAATGTTCTTGAAAAACTGTTTCGGTATCAGGAGAAAATGCTCCCCCTCCTTTCTGTGTAATTGTCTTACCTTACAAGATGTTTGACAAATTTCAGTTGGCTGTTGACTGCAGGTGTGTTTTTGTGAATCACAGGTACATGTGCCTAATTACGACAAAGAGAGAACAGCGTCAATGCAAAAGAGAAATCAAAAACTGAGAGCTTTACGAGTCCAGTTACATTTCTTCACTGCTCTGTAGTAGACTCTAAACTGTTTCAGGTGACACAACCATAGATCAGGGGTGCAAACTTCTCACCTTTCGGCGAGATTTGCCGTTTCGGATCCCAAATAGGTGATTTGTGTGATTAATTTAGATCAATTTGTTCTGCAACTTTATCCCATTTCTAAAAAGGGACTGAAGGTTAGGAGCATCATGGGGTTCTTCATGTTTCACTGAAGCTTTATCAAAAAGTCAAAACAGAACATAGATATCGACAAGCAATTGTGTTTCTCTTATTGTTTGCACTGCTTCTTTAGTCTGATTGATAAAATCGTCTGTAAATTCACATTTTAAAGCTGATATTTAAAAAAAAAAAAAAAAATCTTCCCGGGGGAGCATGACCCCGGACCCCCCCTAGGTGGTTTGGATCCATGTCACCTTTTTCATCCCTGATGAGTTTGCACCCCTGATAGATGAATATTTTATGGATTTTATAGTATATTACCAAGTTGTGGTAAAAGTTTAACCCAAACCAGTAAAACTTTAAATAACTAATCAATGCTTTGACCACAGTTTCATGAGTGTTATGTTATTGTCATGGAAAGCCCCAACTCCGACACATTTTAACGCCAAAACATTCTTGAAAATGCATTTCATCAGAGACATTTACGAAAGCCCTTGAAAGTATTTTTGTTTTCCCACAACTTTTCTTGATTTTTCTCCCGTTCTTCAATTATTCAGAGTCGACGTCTAAGCAAAAAACGAGAAGGCAGACTATGCTGTATATAACGGCGTTCCTGAATATGAAGCCGCTGAGGGACTGAGGTTGGGCCTGATGTATTTGTCCGACGCGCTTTCAAAAGAATACTGAGATACGCAAAAATAAGTTTGACTTTTTTATTAACGTAAAAAAGATAACCAACTTAACTTATAATAATGTGCATTAACTCATAATCAGTGTTAGTACGAATTTTCATGAAATGTATTAATCTTGGTAACTTCATGAAATGTATTATTCAAGTCTGTCTACCACGTGTTAACACTCCTACCTTTAGGTGTCTGAAGCTGTAACCTTATATGAGCGAAGCACCTAAGTAGTAGCAGATCTATAAATGGAGAGGAGCCAACTATATGTTGTCAGCAACTGTTTGCTAGACAGAGAGTCTACATCTGTTAGTATACAAATCAGTGTCGTGTCATCTTCATTGTTTATGGTGATGCACCCAAATAGAAAGGAATTTGTGGGTTGCACCTTTTTGACAGAATATAAGCAGCACTGTGAACACTGTTACTTTGTCAGCACTTTGTCAGTCAAGTGATTTGGAAGCATGCTTGTTTGATGAAGTTGTCTGACCTCGGCCGATTAAATGGTGTTCTAATGTCCAGTCTGTTTCACGATTTCTTCATTGGATTTATACAAACAGAAACAACCCCCACCTAACACACAGTGAACTAGAAACAATAGCGGTCAACAAAAAATACAGCAACCCAGCTCACCCCCTCTCTTCCACTGAGAACAAAAGGTGAACAGGTGAGTTAAATCAACACATCTCCGCCCATACCCATGTGACCCGACATCCCCTCTCTCAACACAATCCTAATAAATGATAGAATAATCAATAACCCAAAACACCAATATATAACAAACTACCTTAACCTTAAATAAATAGCACAAAGACAATTATACCAATCCATGACTCCAACACTGTAGATCTCTAACAAACACAAAAGCCTTACCTTGTCAAGCCCAAGGCTTTTCACCATTTCTTTCTCCCAGTACGGCCTTCTCATTACACTTTTCACTCGTGTCACTATGTGCAGTTTATGTGGTTGGTCTGGATCTCCTCCATATTTCTCATGTTCTTTGGATCTCTCTGCGAAAAGCTGCGAAGAATAAACACAGAGTCTTTGGAGTAAATGAAATAATACAACGAGGCATTTTAATCACTCTAGAACAAGACAGAGCTTCACCCATCAAAATTTGCCAAAACCAACATGAGAACAACATAAACTACATTTACTAAGTGGTCCTTGAAAAGACTATCCCAGACGTTAAGGTGAATAATAAGAATGCATCTTGGTAGTCAGTGTGCTTGAGTTTTACAAATTACTCAACAAAT